AAAAAAGGATAGCCAAAGATGGAAAGAAAACTTACTGATTTTCTACTTTAATCCGACTGCCTTCAACCTTGTTACTGCTATGCGTCTATTTGGACATCAATTGAAATTGACCCTGAGCCTTGGAAAACCCCGAAAAAGGTCCAGACTCTTTGAACCCTAGATCCAAAATTGGCGGAGTTCCCCTTGGATTTGAAGGGGTTTGGCTTGGGATTCAAGACAAGGTGGTCAAGGAGGTTATGGGGTGTTGGTTTGGGAAGGTTTGGTGGTGCCGCCGCCGCCAGGGGATCTTGTGGCGGCGCTAGGGTTCATGTCTTCAATTTAAGATTCGAGGTGCTGGGCTGGGTTTCGAGGAAAAGTGTTTGGATAATCGGAATGGGGTGGTTGAGGAGGGGTTATGGTGTAATTTTGGTGGCATTTGGTGGTTCTCCGCCGCCGTGGACGATTTCCGGCGGCGGAGCTAAGCGGAGCCGGCGAGGTTTCTATGGGGGGGGGGGGTGTGAGAGACGATGGCTTGGGGTAGGGGGGGCTCCGACCGTTACATATCTTTGATCGTGGACTTCCTGTCCGTTGGATCAATAATCATCAATGGTCAAGATTGGAACTTAACCAAACGACGTCGTTTGGCTGGGCGTGGGGAATGGACTGGATCGAGGATTTGGGCTGGACGGGGTGCGTATGGTTTGGGCCAGGTGTTAAAATGGCCCAATTCATGTGTCTCTGCTAAGACCACATTTGTTATCTATTTTTTTTATTGTTATTTTCTTTGTTTTAAATTGTTTTCTCTTTTCTTTTATTTATTTTTTGTTTTCATTTTAGTATATATATATTTTTTTGATTTTCTCTGATTTTATAAAATGCAAAGAATAAAAATGAAACCTAGTTCATTGCCAAAACTAAGCTAATTAATTCCTACAAAATTGATTAAATCCTATTAAAAGTAAACTCAACAATTAACAATTAAAAATGCAAAAATGGACCATTGTTGTCATTTTCTTCATATTTGCTCTAAAACAACTCAATCACTAATTATTCCTAAATGCAAATGTCAAATGTAATTAAATTTTTATTTATTTTTATATGAATTAAAATGCACAAATAAATGCAAACAATTAACAGAAAATAACAAAAAAATTCACAAAATTGCAGAATAATGAAGAAAAATCATTTTGTTTGAATGTTTGAAAAATTCACAAAATTGCAAAATAACGTGCTCACATTGGATAGGGTTAGAAAGAAAGGGTATCAAGGGCTCAAAACAATTCAACATGGGTTAAAAATTACAACTTTCGGAATCAGATTTCTCACAACAACCACAACTTCTGCCCCAATTTCTTTCTTGGGGACTTTTGGATTTTTATTTTGGTGTGACTGAACCTCAGAGAGAGGCTGCCTACGTATCCTTTCGGAATCAAGTCAAACGTAGTTCAGGTCATAGAAATTACTTTGTTGCTATGATTTTCTCTTCTTCCATTTTCTCTATTTTCTTGTTTTCCTTTTCTTTTCTTTTCATTTCTTTTCTTTTTCTTTTTCTTTTTCTTTTTCTTTTTTTTCCCTTTTCTTTTTCTTTTCTTTGCTTTTTTTCATTTCTTTTCTTTTCTTTTTTTCATTTTTCTTCTCTCTCTCTTTTCACTGTTTTCCTTCTCCTTTTCCTTCACTTACTTTCCATGCTTGTGTTTACGAACTTTGTCATTGATTCCAAAAAAGGGGTATGAAAGAAGATAACTGAGGCTCAAAGGGGTAGCAAAGGATAAAGTATTTAGGTAGCAGAACAAAATGCCTTCGTCATTCCAATCTTCAAAATATGCCAAATACAAACAAGTACAATCAGACAAAGGAATCATACATAGTATCTCTTGACTACATCAGAGTTGATAGCCATTTCTACACATTTTCCTTCCACATCTGTCAAATATAACGCACCATCAGATAACACTCTAGTTACAACAAATGGTCCCTGCCAGTTTGGGGCGAACTTTCCTTTTGCTTCAGCCTGATGAGGCAAGATACGTCTCAACACTAACTGTCCTACTTCGAACTTTCGTGGACGCATTTTATTGTTATATGCTCTCGCCATTCTCTGTTGGTACAATTGGCCATGACATACTGCTGCCAATCTCTTTTCATCAATCAGACTCAATTGCTCCAGGCCGGTTTTGGCCCACTCATCATCGTCATGTTCCAATTCATCATCACACTCAATTTCTTGTATTATTACTTCAGAATTAGACCGGCTTTTAAGACTGGGCCGAAGATTCCTCATGCATGTCATGTCATTGAGACCAGCATAGAAAGAACTGTACAAGAAAGAAAAGAAAAACAAAAATGAAACTATCAGGAATGAGGAAGAAGGGAAATTGCATTTCACATTCAAACGGATGGAACGTAGAACCTGAATCACAACCCTGGAATAATCCAGACAACTAAAAGAAAATCAAAACCCACTACCAAAAACTCCCTCCGAGTAGGAAGAGGAGTAGCTTCCCAATTGTTGATCTTCACATTAGGTCTGACAAAATGCACTTCTTCGTCACCAGAACCTTCCCGAATTTCTACCGTGTTCACTTCATCAAATAGACTTTGGACCCTTTCAATCAACTCCTTATCAAGATCAACCACAGAACTAGGAACTGTTGTTACTGGGCGCTTCCCAGTGCCTGGCTTGACAATGACGGGATCTGTGTGGGCACCCTCCACAATCACTACAGGCTTGTTCGCCACTCCTGGCACAACCACTTTTGCCCTTTCTTGTTTCGTTGCAACCTCACTTGAGGACCCTTTCTTGACTACCGCAGATGGTTCACTGTTTGTCCCGCCCAACCTGATCACTAATTTCTCACTTGTTGACTTTTTAACTGGCCCGACCTCACTGGACCGAATCATCATGACGGTCTGTGAAGGCTTCTTAGGCTTTCCTCCCTTATGCACTATCTCGATCATATTTGTCTCATGATGGGCCGGCAATGGATTCTGGTTGATATCGGGCGCCTTTTTGCCCATGCTTGATGCATCTTGGCCATCTGTTGTTTCAGTTTATACATCTCTTCTTTCATCACATTAACATCCAACTCTTCCACCTCTCTCGAAGGATCGATAACACTCGCGTCAAGTTCCTGGTTGGCCATGATCAACTTGTTTGTTTTTTTTTTGACCGGGTGTTGTAGGAGTGAGTTGCCAGAATGCCAGTCAACTAACCACCTGCCTGGACTCATCATCAACAACAACTTTGTTAGCGGTTAGAGCATTAATAGATAGGTAACTGCACATTTGGGAATGAATGCACCTAAGTAGTTAACCATTTCTATTATGCCTTTGCTTGGTTACATGCGTCATCCCGGCTTTCCTTTTCTGTATTTGCCATGCCTTTTCTCTCATTCTTCCTTCTTGTTTTTCCATTGTTTGTTTCTTGCCTTTCCCTCTTTTCTTTTGCTTTTCTCTCTTATTTTCTTCTTTTTTTTTTCCTCTTGCCTTGGTTTTTTCTTGTTCCTATTCTCTCCTTTCCTCAAAATTGTTTTTCCGCTCTTTTCTTTCTTTCTCTTTTGCTCTCTTTTTATTTTCTCTTGTTTGCCTTTTTGTTTTTGGTTACGGTCGAATTCTATGGAGATTGCCTACGTATCATGACCCCGCATGAATCAGACCAAGCGTAGCTCTTGCAAATAAACGCAAAAATAAGGAAATAATTTTTTTTTGAGATTTTCACTTTTCATTAATAAAACTCCGATTACAAAGATACTAAACTATTTGTTTTTCTTGAAAAGGAAAATTACAAAACAGACTCAAAATAGCGAAATACAGACTCAACAACTAGGAATACATCAAAGCTTCAAATCCTGGGGCCCGCGGGGCATCATTCGGCATCGCTGCGGGCCTGCGTGCAAGACCCCTTTGTAACTGCTCCAAATCATTCATAACCTGACGAACAAATATCATTACTGTAGCAAAGAAAGTGGTACGACCCATTCTTTCGTCGGCTTGACATTTCATGGCAATATAATCTGCAATGCCTCTAATTCTTTCCCTGATCTGGCCTTTTTCCTGGAGTAGTCGGCTTATCTGCTGGTTGCGAGCCTCTAACACCTGGGAGTCGTGGAAATGATGGTCTTGCAACAGCTTTATTTCTTTCTCCATCTCGGCCATTAGCCTATAGCACTGTTCCCTTTCAGCCTGAAATTCTTGGTCCTGCCGGGCTGCCTTATCTTCAAGGGTGTTCATCTTTCTTTTCAGATTAGCAATGGTTCCCTTATAATTTCTTTTCATTTGTTGCACAAATTGGGCTCTTTCCTCTGTCTTCTTTGACCATTGTGCCCGAAGTTTTGCCATATTCCCCTCAGATTTCTCCAACTCATCTTGGCCCTCTAAGACCTGCTTTTTCAGCCCATTTATCAATCTCTCATCGGACCGACTTCTTTCTTGATTTTTAGCAGCTATTTTCATTTATCGGATTTGCTCTTTAAGAACCTCATTCTCTTGAGTCAATTTCTTTTTGTCACCTTCGTCAGCCGCAGCTTGCACACTCTTTTCAAATTGAAGATCTCGGACTTGCTGCTCCAGCGCCCCTATCCTGGCCCGGTATTCCTTTTCCTTGGCTAGCCAATCCCATTGTACCTGGGCTCCGTTAGTGAATTGTTGTACATATGGCCTTTTGGCGGGTCTCTCGGGAATCTGAAACCTTTGCCGAACCAGGTCAAGTATTTGGGGTCTACTTCGCCTTTAGCCCGATCATGTACTATAGTCTTAGGCTCAAGGTGCCTGCACTCATTCCATATTTGTCGGATTTTTCCTTCCGGAAATACAGCTTTTGGACCTAACTCAATGATTTGTCCGCTTAGGTCTTTATCATTGTGAATAGTTTGGAATCTTCCTAGTTGACTTAGAACTCGGTAAGGAGCGTAGGGTTGGATGCTTGGAATGCCCATCAAAAGAATATAAGGTACTTCTGCCGATGTGTACACAGCCTCAGTAGCGGGAAGCCACCCGAAAGCCCATTCAACTTTATCCGCAGTCAAAGATCTCAAATAGGATAGCCAAGCCTCGGTGCCCTCGGGGAACTCAATACCTGTTACCCGGGTTCCAAACTCCTCGATACAACTCAGCCCGGTTAAAACATAGTTCATATACCCCGTGCGATGACAAAGGTGCTCCTGTATCCATAACTGTAACAACAGATTATAACCCTGGAAGAATTTTACACCCTCTCGGCATAAGGTCAAAGCTCGATACATTTCTGCCACAATCAGGGGAACCACCGTGCTGTTAGACTTCTTTATAGCAACATCCAACATTCCCACAAGGCCAATATCTATGTGACCGTCTTTTCGTGGACAGATCACGACCCCCAGAAAAGCTACCATGAAAGCCAATCCCCGCCGGGCCTCCCACTTATCTTTGTTCCCGGCGTGTGTCAAACCGGTGTTAGGCTCCTCGAAACCTCGTGGGTTGCCGTATCGGTGGTATAAGAAATGGAGTGTGCAACACCCTTCTGCTAGATGCTTATCTTGAATGTCCCGACTAATGTTCAATAAATCCAGAAATCTGTGAAGGGTTACCGGTCTTGGCGCCAACGGATATCGACCCCTGAGGTTCCCGTTAAGACCCGCATATCCTGCAATCTCCTCTAGTGTGGGTGTAAGCTCGAAGTCCGAGAACCGGAATACGTTACGAGTTGGGTCCCAAAAAGGTACCAATGCTTCAATAATATCCGTTCTTGGCTTAATGTTCAACAGTCCGACGAGGCCACCCAGAATCTTTACCACTGTTTCCCTGCTACCTTTTCCTAAGTCGTTCCACCACATGTGAAGCTTCAAAGGGATCTCACTCAGGACTGAGAAGGTTTCAATGTCAACTGTACTCATCCTGCACAGTTTATTTAAAGGAATTTAATGACTTAGTTTTAACCTAAAAGGAAAAATGTGGCTATTTAAATGGCTATTTAATGACTCATTTTGACATAAAGAAAAAGCAACTATTTTTCAGAATTTTCATTTAAGAAAATAAAGACTCGGTTTTGCAAATACGGCCTTTCAGCACTTCCGGGAGGGAGACTTTAAGGCTGTGCCCGCAAACCATTTAAAAATGACTCAGGGTGGCCGTTCTTGCAAAAATAGCCTTCCGGCGTCCTTTCGGGGACATACGGCCCATTTTAAACGAGAATGGCATCACCCGACTTATTTTGACAAGAATTAAAGTTTTGGTATTTTTGGCTATTTTTGCAAAAGGGAGGTTGGACCCGATGAGGGTTGCCTACGTATCTCACATCCGGTGAGAATCAAACCAGCGTAGTTCGGGCAGTTTTGTCAAAACCTAATATTTGTTAAAAGATCTTTTCATTTCTTTTCAAATATTCTATTTTTTATTTTCTCCAAAATTCGGCAGCATTTCGGTACTATTTGGGCATCGGTTTTTCCAAACAAGTGGTTACCCTCACTTAGCCCTAACACTGCTATTTTTCTCAATTTTCTCTCATTATATACAAGCCGGTCAACATGCAAATCCAAAGCAAATGAATGCACAAGTAGCACGTAAGATGCATCAGGATGGTCTTTTCATTTCAGGTCACCTGTCCTAGACGGACCCAACCCCTGTGTTGAGTCCCCTAAGTCAAATGCACATGATGCAAACAAAC